TAGCGGCCGTTTCCGGGGGCCCATTAACTGAGTTTGCCAGTCACCCCTTGCCTGTTTATCCGTATGTATTAATATTGGTCAGGGGCAGGGGCCATAGTATTTCCATAGTTTTCATCCACTAGTGCATAGCAACCCATACCTATAACCCTATCAATTTTTACCACATTTTACGATAGTCCTGCATCAACCGGGGATTGTTCTTGGGTGCACTTTTATAGTGACACAAGATGATGATGTCCCATCACATTTAGATTAAAATTGTTCAACGAACCTCTGCGAGTTGACTTCGGCTCCTCGTACGCCTTCCAAAGGTCCGGGACACTGTGGTCCCGTGAAAGGAAAGAATACACAACTTCCAAATTATTGAAATTGTCAATTTTTATACTTACGTATGGGGTTTTTTTATTTCAGTCAACTTCATATAAAGCTTTTGAAGGTTAAAACGTATTCAAAGAAATAAAATAATTATATGAAAATAGGAATTAAAATAACATTAGTCAAATACCTATGTATTCATTCATTCTATTCTGTTACAAAGTACTCAGTCGGCCTGGATCACTCCACTTTTGGGGTGACCAAGGACGTCATTGATATGAATATTATTTTTTAAAATTTTTATATATCTATTTATTTCCTGCTTTTAAAGTAAACCACATTTTTTTTTTTACGGAAGAACATTCTTTTAAATAATTGAATTGAAATAAAAAGCAAACACTAAGAGTTATTTTGTACAAAATTTAATTCTTTTTCGTATAAACATAACAAAAACACTCGTATATAACATAAGATCAACAAATATCAGTGCAGGTACATTGAGCAACAGATTAGTGGCCCTTCTTGTGTCCCCAGCTCTTGTGGTGCTCGTGGCCTCCCTTCTTGCCGTGGTCGTGGTGGCCGTGCCAGTGCTCGTGGTGGCCGCCCTCGCCGTGGTGTCCCTTGTGGTGGTGGTGGTGGCCGCCTTCTTCATGGTGGCCCTTCTTACCGTGATGATGTTCGTGGTGTCCACCGTGCTTGTGACCTTTGTGGAAGTGGCCGCCCTTCTTGTAACCGCCCTCGTGGTGGTGGCCGCCGTGGTGTTCATGGAAGCCTTTCTCGCCATGGTGGTCATGGAAGTGCTTGTCCTTCTTGAACTCGTCGTGTTTCTCGATGCCGTGGTGTCCTTTAGTGTCGTGTCCCTTGTGCCAGTGACCATGCTCGTCGTGTCCGTGACCATGCTCTCCCTTCTCTCCGTGGTGATGGTGGTCATGGTAGCCCTCGTCATGGTGGTGGTGCTTCTTGTGTCCGCCGTGCTCCCCGTGGTGACCCTTGTGTCCCTCGTGGTGGCTGTGACCGTGCTTGCCGTGGTGGTGTTCGTGGTGGCCCTTGTGTCCTTTATGGTGTCCGCCACCATGTTCGTCGTGGTGATGTCCATGGTGCTCGTGGCCGCCACCCTTATCCCAGTGATGGCCATGTGATGCGGCGGCTTCCAAGTCAGCATCCCTCTTTTCCCGGATTTCCCTGGCGGAGCTGAGGGCAGCTATGGCCAGAAGACCAAATGCCACAAGAAGACTACTTCTCATCGTTGATTAGACAAGTTGTTGCTGAATGATATCAATTCATCGATGTCAATGATTTTATATACTAAACGCTAGCGGCGGTTAGGTAAGTCAACGTTGCTGATAGTGTCAAGGTTGTTACAACTTACCCGCAAAGATTTCCACTTCCTTCCTCTACTACATTCGCTCTACTCTTATATGATATGACTTCCGAACCAGAGTTCAAAAAGAGAAATGTTTTAATATTTTCGGGATTTTAATGTTAAAAACCTTTAAGAGCCAGAAGAAAATAATTAAAAACAAAATTATGATTACACATTTTCTTTGAATTAAATACTTTATTTTCTTCAATTACTAAGATGTTATACTTTTCTTTTTAAAATAACGTATTCCTAGAAAAGAAAACCACGTTGATTATAGCTAGGCAGGCATTTTTAAATATTACAAATATTTTAACGAAAAAATATATTCTCAATTTAAACTACAAATGTAAAATGAATATTTTTTGACGAGTTTGTAATATGATTTGTACATTTTCACAGGTTTTATCTCATTTGGCAAATGACTGGCATACCGGTAACATCCATTGGAAATGATAAATGAGTTTTATGTATATTTAATACACATCTGTACTTTACTCTCTGACATTCCGCGTCCGTTCTCTTTTTCTTGTGATTCATCTTTGTTTTTGACTTTATCTGGAACGTCGGGAGTTGATAGCTGATGAGGCTACCACAAACGTGATATTATTAAATAAACCAACAGATTAACAAAAGTTTTTTGAAAAAGCTTTACTTACTTTTTATATTTTATGGTACTTTCTTTTTTATACTAAGGTGTGATAGTCATTTTAAGATCGCACAAAGTCAATTTATCTTACTGAATATTTTGGATTCGAATTTGGGTTTTACATAATAATAATTTAACGTACTTTAATATATTCAACATTATGGTACATTAGAAAAACTGAATGATAACGGAACAAAAGAGGTGAACCTTCAGTAGAAGCAAAACTCAGTGCAGCTGTTGTAAATCATCACATTTGTTCCGTACGTTAGTCTATATATCAGAATGTTATCCAAAATCTCCACAATGGATGGTTGGTTTGTTGCGCAACAGGCTATAATTGTACGCCCAGTTACATTCAGAATATGTGGCTCCGGCATTTACATAAGTGCAGCCAGTATGTTACATAGAACATTTGGTAAGCATTACAATCCGCTTACTTGGTGTTTCCCGAGTATAGCTGCATACATTTTGAATTAGTGACTCTGTTATACTTTTTATTTGAAGTTAAACCACTTTCTACAGTGATATACCTACTAAAAAAATAATAATCTGAAGCAAATGTTTCAAAGGATAAAAAGGGCAGTAGTTGGAAGCAAATCTTGGTGTATTAACTTTACACTGGTTGTGTTATTTCGTTCGTTTACGAAGGGGTGAGACTGTTACCATGCCATATAAATGTTGAAAGAAGTTTCCGAAAATAGTTGCCCTGAAAGCGTTGCTTTATAATTTAATTTTATCATACGACGCTATTTTTATTTCTGAAGCGATGACAAAAGCATTAAATAAATATTGCTATGAAATGCCAACAACGGGGAGGGTTATAGTTAGGAATGCCATTATCTTCGCGACCGTTATCGGATCCGAAAAGGAATTTGTCCTATCGGTATGTGCGGAATGAATTTTTAGTTTTTGGTAAAATGAGCTCTGGAATCAATCTATACTTTGTGTGTGACGATAATTATTGATATCTAAAGTTCCATTCACTATAATATTGTATAAACTATTAGCTCATGTATTTAACTATATAATTTTGTATTTAAATGTTAGCTTCATATTTATATTATACAAATACAGCAGACATTAGCAGATACCTTAGATATCAAACATGTTTGTACACTCCGTTTTAAATGTAGATATGTTACTTCCTGAGTATTTCGTGTACGTGATGTTGATTCCTAAATGTCACATGTCGCTGTTCAATCAGCTTAAAATTAAATCATGTTTAGCATGCGTCTATTCTGTACACGAACTTTAGCATGAAGCGTTATATCTAGTCATAATCCTGTCTGCAATATTATTGTACAATTTGGTAATATATCATGGTAGAGTTTGCCGTACGTAAGTAGTCGGTGTAATACTCAAACAATATAGTAAATGTAGCTGAAATAATGTTCTTTTGTGGGTATTTGATTGCTATCGTTTGAGATTGTGTTGGCGCTAGAAGGAAACTTCGTAAAAACAAGAATTCATACTGAATGTAAACAACGATACAATCAACTACTTACTGAGATACTGTCGACGAAGTCGCGTGAGCTTTAGTATTTTGGACTGAACTACACATATCGTATCACTAGTGTTTTAAGGGTAACATGGTAAAAATATTTTTATTAGATATATCCGCAATGAAATCTGTCATCATTCGATTCTGCTTGGTCTTATTTATTGATTACCGATATTTTACCGCAACTGATAATATTAAAAATGGTAAAGACATATGCGTTCGTATAAATAATGTGTATTCCTAATAACTATGTATAATACCAGGGATAAGTGAACACTTTTAATCAAATAAAATTTATGGTAGGACCCAACCTAGTTTGATGACTTAATTAGTATGATATGTTTTCTGAGCTTCCATATTTGCCTTATAGTAACAGAGCACCTAACTTCACTGACGAACAGACTGACACACTACTATTCTATTTTGACTAGTATTCTGTCAGTCTGTTCGTCAGATTCTATGTTTCAAAAGTTGGTATGGTTTTGTTGGAATAAATTATTTTGACTTCGACTTGGAAATATTCACGACAAATTGTGTTACACATTCCTTCCTACACGCTTAGATGGTACAAATTCGAATTTGGTATGCTTTTATAATTGAAAGATAGTATAAAGAGTTGCCCTGAATTACATAGAGCTGTAATTTTATAACGTAATGTTAGGATCTACGTAAAGGATAGGTAGTGAAAATATTAGTTACTTTTTAGTAGTCGGCCACTTGCCTAGGACACTAGATTAGGTATTCAGTGGGGATTTCAACCGCTGACGCTTCTCGAGAGTCCCGCCTTGTTAGTTTTATAAAACCGTAGCTAATAAACTTAATGCTGGAGTTTAGAACTATTTTATTTAAAAGGCAGCCACAGACCTTCCTTTTATCCGTTTTGCTTAAGTAGTATTCCCTAAGCATTAGTGCCCATGTTTGCGTATTCCTACTAATATTATTTTTACCAACAATTTTGTGGAATTTAAATTTTAAAATATTTAGCAATTATTGTTCGTCCGTTATAGTCATTTTCAGTTAATGATAAAGATTCATACGAATAAACAACAGTGGGAATGTTTCAATAATGAAAACCTCACAATTAAATATTTTTGTAGGATTTGTAAAATAAATATTTATTTGTGTATCACAAAGTATCAACAATAACAAAAAACCTCATCTTATTAAATCAAAGCAGTAACTTAATTGTGACCTTTCTTAAAGCCCCAACCTTTGTGGTCCTCATGTCCTCCCTTGCTGCCGTGGTCCTCGTGGTGTCCCCAGTACTCGTGGCCGGCACCTTCGTCATGGTGACCCTTATGGTCGTGATGGTGGCCTCCCTTTTCGAAGGAACCCTTGTTGCCGTGCTCATGTTCATGGAAGCCACCTTCTTTATGTCCTTTGTCAAAGTGTCCACCCTCTTTGTAGCCTCCTTCGTGATGGTGTCCACCGTATCCTTCTTCGAATCCTGATTCACCGTGCTTGTCGTGGAAATGTTTATCTTTCTTGAATTCGTCTATTTTGTGGATACCGTGATGTCCTTTAGTGGAATGACCCTTGTGGAAATGTCCCTTTTCTTCAAAACCGTGACCTTTTTCACCTTTCTCGCCATGATGGTGTTCGTCGTAGTAGCCGTCGTCATGATGATGGTGTTTCTTATGTCCTCCGCTCTCGTCGTAGTGTCCCTTATGTCCTTCGTGGTCGGAGTGTCCTTTTTTGCCGTGCTCGTGGCCATGGTACCCTTTGTATCCCTTTTCGCCATGTCCGCCATGCTCGTCATGGTGATGCCCATGATATTCTCCACCATCGCCCTTCTCCCACTTATGGGAGGCTGCAGTTTGTAAGTCGAGGTCCCGCCTGAGACGCATGTCCCTGGCGCAGACGGCGACTACCAACGCCAACAAGCAAACGACGGTGGCTCTCATCCTGAACTGTTGTCCCGGTTCTGTTGGGCAATGATTGCCAAATGATGCCTGTTACGATTTCTTCTGAGCTTATATAGTATTGCCAATAATAGTGTTGCTTTTAATGTCAGGGTAATGAATGACGGTCACAGGTACACGGCTGACCTGAATTATATTTTAAATAATAAATACCTATCAACGACAATGTTTCGGTCTTCGAAATAGTGCATTATATTGCATTACCTAACTGTTCGACACAATGTAAGCATATTTAATTAAAGAGAATGAATTGTCCACGTTATAAAAAAAACTTCAAATCATATTAAATTGGTTTTTTGGTAATTACTGTTGATTATCCAATCATTGCACATCATGTTAATAATTTTATGCTATTAGGTGTAAAGTGTCTTAAGGATTTTGTTAAGAAGCCATGTGTTTACACTACGACCAATAGAATAAATCTAATACATTGCTTGAGCCTCGTTGCAAAATTTTGATAAACCTTCTTATTTATTTACATACACAGCTAGAGACGTACTTGTATATTTGATTATTATGTTATCCAGGGTTACATAGACATTTTCACTAATACCAATTTAAATCATGAAGTTATATTTTTTGGGTCATTAATAATACTAGACTCGATTATGCCATATTCCATGATATTCCATCCAACTCGGTTCAAATCCAACTGATGATACACACTCTGATGCTCCATCTCCCGACTTCCGACTAAAATATAGTGGTCCAACACTCTCGGGGCTAATAAATGAAGTCTTATTTAACGTAATGTTCCACATGTTAATATTCCTACGCGTTTCACCACATCAGCCACGATACATAATATAGTCGAACATTAAATAGAGTTAAAGCGTAATTTATCAATGTTTGCCGTTACACTACGGACTATTTAAAATGTTCATTAAAATCAGTTCATGGTTACTTTGGCATCATAATTACCGTCAAATATGTACAAAATAACGTTAACACAATAATTCGTCAATCGACCGTAACTTAAGACTTCTAACTACATCTGTGTTAGCATTGGGAAGTTACTCAAATTAAAATTCATGAAATTTAGGCGTATACCAAACCGAGGCAAAAGTTGGATAAACTACCATCGAAGATCCGGCGACGACGAGTACGAACTTTTGATACAATTTGAACTTTGTGTCGATCCGTCACGCACTCGGGCCATGGAATAAATTAATGCGCAGTGTGTGTACAGTTAGCTTCCATATTTATTTGCCGTATTCAAAAATATGTCCGCGTTACTTTAAATTGACAACGTGACGTAGAAAGTAATATGTATGTTTTAGATATTCATCAGGTTTTATGGTTGTTTTAAAATACTCTATAATCTATATACATATGTATACGTAGATATGTGTGTACTGATTATTTCAAGACCAAAGATATTTTCAGAGTGAAAAGTTATAAAAATGTTTATGACACTTCTAGTGAGATGAAAATCAGGTATAAGTATTATGCATGATATATATCATTTAATGAGTGTTAAAAATAACGCTAGGCAGTGAAGTAAAATAATAAATGGTTTAACATATTAATATGTAGGGTATAAAGCAAACAGACGTAGTATACAGTCGCAGATTTTCAGTCGCTAACGTTTAACATTGATGAGCTGTCAGAAGTCGCGACTGTTTTCACTAGAGTCAAGGGCGTCCCCAGTCAAGGCCAAGTTGCGAAGCAGTCGCCCTCATTTTTTTATTATCTTTTGTCTAAATAAATTTCTTCTGATCGATTTCTTTCGTCACCGTTTCCGGTCGGGTGCGCAAGAGTCGCGCGCTCGCCGCTGACAAATACTGTTACACAGCCGACCAATGGACACCTGTGTGCATTAGGAGAAACTTAATTAAATTTAAATTATTTCATTCAATTTGTTGATTGAAATTTAAGTCTACTCGTGTTTTTGTTGTTTGTTAATTAATTTTCAGTATTTAATTTACATACATATGATCCTCTCGTCGAGATGTGTTTTAAACAAATGTTAATTTTTTTATGTTTACTTTGATTGTTCATATCGTGTTTGTGAATTAAAAAAGTAGGTACAAGGTATTAATTGTATGTATATGTTTATAGGCAAGTATCACAAGCGATGTTTGGTTGTGAAAAGGCTATTAAGTTTGCTCTCAGTACACCAGAGATAAAAGCCAATTATAATGCAGGTAACAATAAATATGGGCCTATATCGGATCCTAGTTAAAATTAGTGTTGGTCCCAAGATTATCAGATGAAGTTGATCTCGTAACAATTTTGTTGGCCGAGCCGCTAGTCTCTATAGGAAACCAAACAAAATGGGAGAAAGAAATTTACTACCCAGTCGTGTTCAGAATCCGAATCACCGGGAGATGTCAAGTCGGAAACAATGGCGGTATACTTACTTATAGATACTGTTTACAGAAGATAAGTAGCTGCCTCGTTGTTACTTAGTAACTGGTGTACATATCTCGAAGTATGTAATAATAATGGAAAACACATAAATTGTTTAAATCGCGTGTGTGGGTAATATAACAATTTTGTTTCAGATTTTCTTAGATACAAATACGTAGTACGTAGTAAACATTAAAAAAAAATTTTTAAAGTAATCGTAACTGCACGCTAGGGTATTCTCATGTGCCGTGGGTGCCTTTATGAACATACAAATTTACCCAGTTCCGCAACAACAATTTGTGGATCACACAAATTGTTGTTCTATGCGGGAATCGAAGCCGCGACACGTTGCACAGAAGCCAGTTGCCCAGCCACTGCGCCAACCGTGCAGCAGACAATAACTATAAGTCTTTGTCTTATTAAAATATTGACCCTTGTTTTTGTATGTTATGCCAAATATTATTTCTGGTCGATCGAGGAGGAATGGAACTTGTCCGACAGTAAATAAAAAATAAATTAGCGCCGAACGTTTTACGATAATCAAAAACACTACACTACATTGTACATTAAACACATGTCTACAGTCCCTATGTGAAACCTACATATGTGCACGTAACTATTGTTTGTATTGCGTACCATCAAAACTAATTACGGCGGGTAGTCCGCGTAATCCGAGTTTGCGCTAAACCAAACCCGGCGTGTATTAATCCTCAGTAGTAGGATACTTCCAATGTGTCGGTAGTCGGAAGGCAACAGGCGGGTGTCGGGGCCCGCTTTATTGCGTCACATTATGTATGTATATGAGGGACTGGACGCGCACGTCGAACGTGTGTGCAATGAGAGGCCTATTTCCAACTATGTTGACATCATTCATTAACTACGCGGATGCCTATTAAAGTAGCCGCAGCTTATTAATTTTTCAAGTTAAACATTGAAACTGATGAGGCGAACCATTTCTATCTGCTTAGTGTAAATAATCCTGCGTGTCTGCTTCATACATAAACTTTTTACTTTTACTTGGACTTTGTGTATGTAGATACTACTGAATACTAAATCCAGAAACTATAACAGTTTACGGTTACTACTCCTTGCACAACAAACAACACAGTATGTTTACTACTCTTTTGCTGTTTGCCGTATAAAATGAACAAGCAATTAAGAGAATTGTTCACGGTCTACAAAATAAAATCATAACATGTTTTCTCTCGGGATCATTTATTATTGTTTTCATTATCCATGAGATGTGAAAGTTACAACAAGACTTTTATAATTGATGAATGCATGGTACCTAAAGGAAGTGAGGAAGGGCCCAAGTACTCCGTGCCTCCCCTATTTAAATATCTTTAAGACTCATTTAGAAGTTCTCAGAAATCCATTTTGTACTTAAGATCAGCGTCGTAATTAATTATTTCGGATTAAATAAACTTCCCGTCTTAATAAGTAGGTTCCTTAATTATAGAACTACCATTAGGATAATAAAGATGTTGTTTTAAGATGGATTTATTAACCCCGTCTTAGAAACAATCATAAATATCTCTTTCTATCCATTTTCTAAGATTTGTAGTCAGATTATGAAGGTTACAAACGAATGTCTTTATTTTTCTTGAAGTAAATTTCATCTAGCTCCACAAATTACTTATTATAAGCCACAATCATATTTCAGTTACATTGGACTGAGGGTTAAGTCGTATGATATCAAGAGAGAAAATAAATAAAACGAAATTTTCGTCTACTTGAAAAATCGTATCTTTGTATTTTACTACAGAGTAAAATAGTATCAGGTTAGTATGTTAAAGTAAATTAATTGACTGTTGATGAATTTAATCAAAGTTTAAGTAGTGTTCTATAACAGTACTGAATGTAGGCGGGCATAGTTTGCAGCCGATAGTTCTAGTTGAAACCGCCCATTAGTCTAGTGGTCAACCCGGAGGTCTTGGTTTATTCCAAGGTGGGCTTAGAGTTAATTGGCTATAGCTCTATAATTGAGTCACTGATTATTAATACTATAAGTACGTAGTGCTGATTTAAATAAAGCAACTTACATGTATTTGATTTCAAAACACTTTATTAATTTTTTTCGGTGTATGCTAGGATGTAATAACCTATCTGTCTTGCTTAGTTGGTGTCATCAAAAGCTACTCAGTAAAGCTAATAATAAAATTGTGAGTTAAATGTAAGTTGACTGTACAGTAGTCGTAGTAGATTAGGTCGCTCGAGTTTCTGTATAGTATAAATGCAAGGGTCGCGGGCTCAGGTACTGCGCAGCGGGCTAACACATCTGCTGTTCTGTTTGCGCCGCTAACAATGTAACTCGGAGTTAATTAACATCGGCTGTCCGCCTAGACGGAGCCGAGACAAATATCCGAACTATGTTCAAAGCTAGACTTCCAGCCAGTCCGTCTTCGTCAGAATAGTTACAGAACTTGCGAATAATGAAATCATTGTCAGGTCTTACTTCCCATTCTTTGTTTTAGTTTCGCAGGAGACATTTTGCAGGTTTTGTAATATAAAACTTACACTTCGACTTACTTTTGCAGTTTGATGAGAAATCCGAAGTTCTCTGAGTTTCCATTCAATTTCGTCAGTAATGGAAATAAGTTGGGTTTGTGAGTCGGCAATGTTTTACTCTGTGATCAGAAGGCGTGATATTTTATTTTTTGCAAAATT